CAAATGGTTATTATCACAAATTGTAAAAACTTGTATCAATAAGATATTATTTAGAATGCATGTTGTGTTTATATATTAATTAAATATAATATAAATAAATAAAAAATAGAAAATAAAATAAATAATATATGTTAATTAAAATTTTCTTTAAATAATAATAAATGAAAAGTAATAATCACAAAAAGACAAAAAAAACACAAAAACCATAAAAAAAATATGATTCAAACCTATTTTGGGGTGCCAATGGTAACCCATAGGGGTGCCATTAGCCTCCCCCCTGAATTGCTTGACCGGTCTTCATAAATCGCTGGCTTATTCCTTGACTTGGTAAGAGGATTCCACTAAATTGCTTGATTCTTAGATTGGTTAGTGACTGGATTCGTACAACAGTTGAGCGATTTAGGAGTTAAATCGGGCATCACAGGTAAATCCCTCACCTGATTGTGTTTGTAATAAGCGGATTTAGTGAGCGGATTAAATCCTGTAGTGAGGACTTTGAGCAGATATTAGTTGTAATTTGAGCGATGTTGACCGATTAAGAATTTCTTGAGCGATATCGCCTAGGTCATGAGCTGATATTAAGCAATTTAGTTTAGGCTTGAGCGATTGAGATTTGGTTGAGCGATTTAATTTCAGATTGAGCGATTTTGACCGGATTAGAATCAAACTGTGAACGGATTACACTTTGTTTAGTGCGAGAGTTTTAGTCTAAGACTTGAGCAGATTTGTCCGAATTCGAACAACGCTTGAGCGAACTAGTGACCGAACTTCAAACGGCTCATCTCTTTTCTAAGTTGCAGGCTTGATTTGGACAGGTTAGTGGTGGAGTTCTAACTAAATCGCACGACATTTGTCTGTTTTCATTCTAAATCACTCATCACCCTGTTTGATTTTGACTTGGTCTTCATCTGGTTCTTCTTTATCGCTCATTGTCAATCTGATTTTGGTGTGACAAGTTTGCTTGAAAATTTCACAAGGATTTTGGTGTGTCTGTTTCTTACCTTGATCATCTGGTTGAGATACTAATCGCTCATTCAATCAGGTTCATTTGTTTTTAGTATTAATTGGTATCAATTGAAGGTTTTAACCTAAACGATTTCTTCACCGGAGTTTGCTCGATTTTGGATTTAAATCATACAATCAGGTTCATTTGATTTTGTGTTGTTTGGTTTTGAGTTCCTAAATCGCATTCAATATCTAGACTTCCGATTC